ATAGTTTCCGCAACACAATTCGTTAAAGTGATCCGATCCCGTTAAGTTTCAAGAGAGCTCTTTCTTGGACCGAAAAATGGTAGTGTGCCAAAGTCCATCAATATATTTCAAACATAAAATTCGTTGTTGAACGGTTCAACACAAAAAAGCATGAGCTGATACTACAAAGGCAGAGAGGCATGCTCTTATTCGAATCAAAAAGTGGTTTCAAGTCGATAAGGAGAAGCAACAAAAGATGGATCTAGTTCAAGTCGTTCTGGTTGTTACATAAGTATAATCAACGCTATTATGATGTTTGCAAGAGTAAAGAAATAAATGTAACGGCGCTTTTTCATTTTGTTTTGGTAATTTGAAAATACATACATATATAGACTCTTGTGTGGGCACCGATTATATATTGATTAGTTAACTATCTCTCATTTGAAAAGCGTAACTTGAGAACCATAGAAGCCAACTTTTTAATTTTCACAAAGCATCTTAAAGCAGATTAGATGTTTATATCTTTTATATTCATACAGATATGCCGTTTCCTATTTCCCTACTTATTCACCTCAATTGCCAGACCTTTAGCGGAACGTCGGGAACGTCGCCAAAACAACTAATCACCACTAATCATTCAGACTATGTTTGTCTTTTCGATTTATAAAACGTTCTTCAGTTTGTACGGGCTTACGAAAATAAATGTGGATTCCGTCTGCGCATCTAGTCACTTCAATAAATATTAGGAATATCTCAATCATCGTTTGTTGTACAACAGTGCGTCACAAGAACATGAAAAGCACAACAAGAAGTTACTTACTACCAAAAATACCAAATTTCCTATAGAACCGCTCTTTTGCGTTGGCATAAATATCTTAACGAATCCATTCCGCGCCAAGTTTTTTTTTCATTTCCTACTTCACTTCTGATATGACAGCAATGGTGCTCTGTGCAATGTTTAAGTGAAAATCAATTCCCTCCAGCCATCGATAACCTTCATATCCCAGCAACTCCAAAGCAAGGGTTAAATAAATCACTGGAATCATATAGGTTTGGTCTATGCCGTCACTCAGCTAAATTTTTATTAAAATGTATTCAAAAGCCTCTTTTGACATACGAAACTTTTTCAAAAATCTACAAGTAACAATACGTATATTTTAAGTTACGTCGTTGACAAATGCATAAAATGATTTTCTGGTACTACATTGAAGCTTCGTATACGCCTTATTTGATTCGTTTTCTGCCAATAGCGATGTTCCTCTACCTCTAAATAACATAATGCAAGGAAAGCAATCATTCAATCCAATATCTATGTATTTCTCAACATTATTTGATTATTTAACAATAACATTTTACTTACTTTTTTGTTTTGTTTAGTAAAATGGATTAGACGAGTTGACGATGAGACCAATATATATCCAGTAGACTGATGAGTTTTTATTATTTGTTGCATCGCTGCGCTTTATGAATGCTAACGACAGTATAAGATGATGGATGGAAAGAGTGATGATACACAATTGATTATAAGCTTTAGCGTATTAAGAATTTTAATTACGCAAAAGGAAGGAATTAAATTATTTACCTTCCACAGATTTTTCTTCTTCTTCTATTATTTAGCAAATTAATATCTGAAAATTCGCTGGGATGTGTAAAAAAGGCCCAAAGTGAACACAGAGTTCTTTGTGTTTAGTTAGACCTTAGCAAAATTAGGGTTACATTTGGTATATAATATTATTATTTATGTATTTATGTATTTAGTGATTAAATTTAAATTTTTTGTTTTGGTTCAGCTGTTTGTAAGTAAACAATTTTGTTCGCAATTTATTTTATTTTCAATTTACAGCTGTTTTCTCTTGTAAACAAACCAATGCAAAACGTCAGCGATTTTGATTAAGCTAGTTTTAACAGTTCTGAGAGAGCATTTCTCGCACCTCTTGGGCATACATATAGCTAAAAAGCTCAAAACTCGAAAACGAAATCTAATTAGCACCATACATAATTAGTGCTTTGGTTTTGTGTATTTTTTTTTTTTTTTAATTGAACTCTTGGCACTCATAAATATAGTTTTTATTAATTAAACTGTATCTTTAGGCGTTCGTTAGTTTTACCTTTCATATAATATTGAGAAGTCGGTGGATGCAAGCACGCTTATGCTTTCAAGTTCAGCTTCATTTCTTTTTTTTTTTTTTTTTGTTTGTATTTGATGTGGATTGGACCTTTTAACTTAAATTTAGATCCATAATCCAGTAACTATATAGAAATCCATTGCTGATATTCATAATTTCACGTGATGATGAAATAATGATGCTTATTTACTAAATTTTTTTGATTTTTTTGCTTTCTAGGTTATGTTTGATTCTTTTCTTTATTTCT